GTGGGGACCCCGATGCTCCAGGGGTGACCCCAGGGGTGCCCAGTTGATGAGATTGGTGTGACCTTTGTCAGGAGAGCAGGGCTGGGGGGCTCTGAGCCCCCTCGGGTGCCTCCTGCTCTGGGGGGGTGGGACTGAGGGGTGCCTGGCTTGGGTGGGGGTCCTTGGCGGGGGGGGTTGTGCTGCTCTGCTCTCGTGCCCCCGCGCTCTTCGTGGTGGTATTAAACCTGCTGTTGTGTTTTGTCTCTGTTCTGCCCTGTCCCTGCAGAGCTCAGAAGTAAGTCACCCCCTTTCTGCCCCCCCCTCCCTGGCTGCTCCCCTTTGCATGAGCTCTGGCTGCTGCCACGTTTGGGGCGGGGGGGACACCTCGGGGTGGCCCCCCCGGCTCTGTCTGGGCCGCAGGGATGGAGGGGCAGGGGCTGCGCTCGTGGGGTCGGGAGGGGAGGGCTGCATGCTGGGCTGTGGGGGGGCTGCATGGGGGTCTAAAGGGGCTCACGGGGGTCTGAGGAGGCTCATGGGGGGAGTCACCGAGCCTGAACAACCCCCCCTGTGTCTCCCCAGGCTGAGGAGTGTGAAGATGGAGCAGCGGAAGCTCAACGACCAGGCCAACACTCTGGTGGACCTGGCCAAGGTGAGCGATGCCGGGGGGGCTCTGGGGGGATCTGGGGGGACCCCACTGCGGGGGCATCCAGCACTGAGCCCCCCCCCGTGCCGTTGTGGTTCCCCCCAGACCCAGAACATCATGTACGACATGGTCTCGGAGCTGCAGGAGCGCCACGAGGACCTGGAGAAGCGACTGGGAGCCCTGGAGAGCAAACTGGAGGCGCTGGGGCTGAGCCTGCTGGCCCTGCCCGGGCTGGTGAGCCAGGCCCTGGGCCAGCAGCAGAGGGAGCTCCTGGGGGCTTGGCCCCCCCGGCTCTGCTCGGCCACGGCCCCCTGCACCCCCACCCGCGCCCCCCGTGCCCCTGCCGGAGCCCCCCCCGCCTCTGACAGCGGGTGAGGGGGTGGGGGGTGCTGGGGGCACCCCCGGGTGCCCTTTTACAACCCCCTCCACCCCCTTGGACGGCGGGTGATGGGGAGGGGGCTGTGGGGGCACCCCCGGGTCCTCCTCTGTCACCTCCTCCCTCTTCGGACAGCGGGTGATGGGGGGGCACCCCCAGGTCCCCTTGCACCCCCACCCCCACCAAGGACAGTGGGTGAGGGGGTGGGGGGGTTATGGGGGCACCCGCAGGTCCCCCTTTGTCACCCCCCCACCTCCTCAGACAGCGGGTGATGGGGAGGGGGGGTCTGGGGGGGCCCCTCTTATGTCTGGCCATCGTGTGGCTGATTTCAGTAGCTTTGTTCTGTAAAGCCCTGTATAAATTTCCTGCGTTCACTGTGCTGGCTTGAGGCTGGAGCCCCCCCCAGAGCCCCCCCTGCCCCCCCCCGACCGGGTGGGAGCTGAGCCCCAGCCTCCAGGAGGGCTTTTTGGGGGGGTGGGATGCAGCAACCGCTGCACTGGGGGGGCTGGAGCAGCCCTGGGAGGGGGGGCAGAGGGACAGGGGGGAGAAGCCAGGAGCCCTGAGTGTTGTGAGGGGGGGTTGGGGGCTGACCCCCGGGTGTGGAGGGGGTGGAGGTTGGGGACAGGGTGGGGGGACGCC